TCTCCACCCCTCAGGGTCTTCACAGGAGCTCACTGTCAGAGCTGGTTCCGCACCCCGTCTCCACACCTCAGGGTCTTCACACAGTGCACTGTCAGAGCTGGTCCCACACTCCGACCCCACACCTCAGGGCCTTCACGCACTGCACTTGTGACCTCAGACTGTGTTGTTCAGGACAAGTCTGGCTTAGAACGTCTGTACAGTGCTGAGACTGAGGAAGGATAGGCAGTGTGGACATGAAGGGACATGGGCCAGAGGCAATGACTTGCCATCTCCTTCAGAAGGGCGTCTGTCTGGGACCATTCCCTGGGGATGGGGTGCCACTGGTGTTAACCCCACTCATGTTGGCCTGATATGAACCAGCACCCACGAGAACCATGGTGGCAGGTCCTGCCATGCCAGTACCTGTTCTGTGCCCCAGAGGCCCTGGAGACTACTCAGGAGGGACTTCCCAAGGACATTTCCCTGTTTCTGGTCCAAGATGCTCCTTGGTGTACATGACGTTGGGTGCCCAGCCCTGCTCATCTGCCAGCCCCAGAGAGCGAAGCTGTAGCTACAAAGGACTCTCACTCGTTCACTCCCTAGTTGGCACCAGATTTTCAAAATGTTCTCAGATCAAGGGCAGGTGGCAGTGAAGACTAAGTAAAATTTCACAAGGGACCCTGAAGCTTTTTGGACAACAGGTACGGTTAATAAGAAGCAAAGGTGAGTCTTCTAGGACTTTTTCTCATGCAGGGAGCTGAGAGGAGGCAGAGCTGGCTGAGAGCAGGGAGCTGAGTTGGAGGGTTAGGAGAGGGGGAGAGAAGGACACCGAAGGGTGGGCAAACACCTTGAGGCACGTTATCTTTGCCGTCAGACCTAATAAGGTTCCTCTCCCTAGCTTTGCCTGTAAGATGTGAGCTCAGCATAAAAGGTAAAACCCAGGCTACAGGGCTTTTTAGGGACTGCCCAGGGGCAGGTGGGCACACATAAGTGTGCTCCTTTTCTGTGTGGTGCTTGGTTTTTCCAGCCTCGCAGACAGTGCACAATTTGGAAGGTCATGGGTCCAAGGGTCCCAGGACTGCAGGGCTCCAGTGCTTTCTTGCTATTCCATGGGCCCCTCCACTCATCCCACAGCCCCTGTCTGGTGACCTGCAACCTGGGGTGACACCTGATGCTGTAGACTCTCCCACAGGGGACGTTGAATGGGATCCGCACTTAATCACTTTGGACAAAGCCCAGTGCTGTTTCACGCCGCTGGTCTTCCCCTTTGCGACGTAGGAATCAGAACAGGGTGAAAGGGAACCACAGCCCCCAGTGCGGCCCCCACCTCCCACCTCCCACCAAGCCCAGCACCAACACAGCTAAAGCCCATTTGTTTGGAGGGTTTTGTTTACCGTGACTGATTCAGTTACAGATGGCACCCATGTCAGACTCACTGAAGTTACAATTGCTTAATCCCTTTGTATGCCTGTGGGTGCCTTGAAATTATCGTGTGGTCTGGAGACATCATTGTAAGTACGTGGGCTGCCAGCTTCAAATCACACGTGTGTGGTTAGAATAACCCTAAAGGAGCCTGATGAGCACAGTCCGGTGGCATCTTCTCCAACCGCCTTGGCTGTGGCTGCCTGGTGTGGGGGACGTTAGCCCGTGCTCCCTGTGAACGTGAGGGACCCCTGGTTCCCACAGGGCCTAGACCACTGTCCCCAAGCCAAGCAGCGCATCCTCATCCCTGGCAGGCACAGGGAGGGCAGCCCGCCGAGTTCTGTCAGATCTCCTCTTGCGTGTCTTTCCAGTTAGCCTAACAGACACGTTTCCGACCTAGTCATCTATTTTTAGGGGTTTTTTAGGGGCTCAGTGGAGTCCCTGGTGCAAACAGTGAAGCCCTCGACCACTAACTAACAGTGGTTGCGGTTAGTGTCCCCCCCGAAGTGGGCCCAGAAGAAGGGCTGGTGATCTCCCGGGAGATCAATCATCGAAGACCCTTTAGTGCAGAGCCCCCTCTCACAGCAACTCAGGGTTGCTGTGCGTGGGACTCGACGGCCCTGGTTATGGGTTCCATTTAGTGTCTGATTCAGAAGGACGGACTCTGGCACCAAGTGAGCTGCTGTCTTTGCCCGGTGAGACTCATGGGCCAGCCAAATACTCAGCCGCCCTCACCTGCAACAGACGCACGTGCTGCAGACCCCGCGGCACCTCACCTGCGACAGGCAGACCCCGTCACACCACGTGTAACTTTCCTCACCTGCAACAGACGCACGTGCTGCTGACCCCGCCGTGCCTCACCTGCAACAGGCAGACCCCGTCACACCACGTGTAACTCCTCACCTGCAACAGGCAGGCCATTCCCCCACCCCTGCACCATGTGTACCTCCTCACCTGTAACAGTCG